CCCCCCGCCCCACCCCCCCCCAAGCCCCATACTCACTGGCTGTAGCAGCAGCGACCAGGGCCTCTGAGGGCTCATGGCAGAGCACCCCCCCGTGCAGCGCAGGGCAGTGGGGATTGCCCCCCCACACACACCTGGCACCCAGGCAGCAGCTGTCACATGGCGCGGATGCAGCATGGCTCAGCAGGGCATTGCACAGTCTGGGAGCTGGGACCGCTGGGGCTGAGCGGTGCTGGGCTCCGGCTGATGAAAAGCGGTGCCGCCCAGCTCCCAGACAGTGCGCAGCATCCTGCTGACCCGCGTTGTACCTGCGTGAGGCAACAACTGCCATGCGGGTACCGAGCAGGGGGGGCCATCCCGGATGCCCCCCACTACTCTGTGCTGCACAGGGGGGGGCTCTGCCACAAGCCCCCAGAGGCTCTGATCACTGCTGCTACAACTGGTGAGTGTGGGGCTTTTTCTTTTGCTTTAAGTGCTGGGAGGCTGGGGCTAGGAGGGGCAGCCATGGGGGCTTCTCCCGTGGCTCTTCTGGCTGTGCTTGCCTCTGCCCCGGCAGAGGACCACGGGAGAAGCCCCCATGGCTGCCCTGCCCAGTCCCATCCCCCACCTGGCCCCAGCCTCCCGGCACTTTACAAGGACTGTGGGGGACTGTGCCGGACTCTTCCTGGGAGGGGCACAAGCCCCCAGATCTGTGCACGGGATGACAGCAGGCTGCCGAAGCTGGCTGCAACCAGTGCTTGATGCAGCCCAAACTGAGCGCCGGGATAACTGGTGCTGCCACTGGCCCCAGCCAACAGCAGCAGCCTGCCATCATCCCGCACACAAATCTGGGGGCCTGTGCCCTCCTGGGAGGGCTGCGGGGCTGTGCCAGACTCCACCTAGGGAGGACAGGTCCCCGGATCTGTGCGTGTGATGACAGCAGGCTGCCAGCCCTTCCTCGGAGCACTGGGTTTGGAAGGGACCTCAGGGACAGATCAGACACTGGCCAGCTATATGGTCAATATTAGAGCAATCCTTCCTGCCCCGCTCTCCCCTCCCTCTTCTAAGTTTCTGTTTCCCCACAAGCCTGCCCCCAAAACATTTTGGATGGTTTCATTTTGTTTTGGAAACGTTTCAGAGCCTTCCTTTTAGTTTCAGATTCGGTGTTTCAGGTGCCGAAACAGGCCAAAACACCTCCAAAATGAAACGGCTGCTGAAGTTTCACAAAGCCCTAGTGCTTATGGTTTTGCAGAGGTATTCCCCTCCCCATTTTTTTCCCCATTGATATGGATGGCTTGGAGCAATGCAAGGTTTAGCACTTCCTGAGGGAGAACAACCCAAATTAACAAGTGTGTATGAAGCTTCTGTTGATTTCTGAGACTCAACTTGCCAGACTACTATTCTAGCTCACAGATGGCACACAGACACAGCTAGGCCCAGAACAGTTGGAACCACATTCAAATCTACCAAAATGAATGTGAGTTTTTCAATAGCCTGCAATGGGCTTTGGACTGTAACACCCAGTCCCAAGCAAAGTCAATAGAAAAAGACACTAATTTATTTTATAGGGCTTTTAATCAGACCCTGAGCACAGCAGTGGAACTGGATGTTGGGGTGGGAGGGAGGAGAGGAAACGTGGTTGAAACACCTGTCCTGGGCAGTGTTCGTACAGGGGGCGTGGGGGTGTGCGTGTGAATATGTC